CAGTGTGCAGTAAATATCTTAGTGAGCAAGGAGTGTAGTGCTGAGTGGGAATACAAATAAAAGTTGGGCTAAGGTGGACTTTGCACAGATATTAAAAGAAAAGGCTATTAATTTATTGAAGTTTAATCAAACAAAACCCAAGTGGGCTGCTATGGAAAAAGAGGTAGGTGAGCGGATGGTGGTTTATCTGTGGTCCCAGCCTAAATGGGTCCTTCACATCAGTTTTTCATTTAAGAGGATAATTTTGAAGCAGATGAAAAGGCCAAGTGAGCTGTGGAAATGAACACATGGAAATGTGAGTACCAGACCAGATACACAGTGATCGAGGCTGAGCAGGTGCTATGTGGCTGCAAAATAGTAAAGAAACTATTGGAAAACAGGGGGAGAAGGGAAGCAGAATGTAGCCAGCAATCACTCTGGCAGAAGCACAAGTGTAGGAATGTGCTGAGAGAGTGAGCTACTGGTGGGCACCATCAGCACTCGGGCATCAAGAGCAGTGCTGAGACCCCGGAGTTAATCGCTGCTGCAATTTCCTGTGTCCCTGCTCCTGGTTTAGATTCAAGAAGGCAAAACTGGTGCTTTGCTGATCCTCTGTGGAGGGGACAGCATTTGCTTCTGGCTCTTATCTACAGAAATGTCTAATCCTCTCTGCTAGGCATTTTCCCTCGCTATTGACTGTTGGCAACACTTACATGAATCTATACACTGGCCTTTTCAAAGCAGAAAAGGGGAGTTTATAATTTTAAAAGTGTGCCTTTCAGTTTTGTTGCCTGCTTGCTTGTTTTGCATCACAGGAGGATTAACTGAAGTATTTGGCTTAACTTCTTTATGCTGTGCTCTCACATGTATCCTTCCAACGTGTCCCCTCTGATTCCTATTCTTACTAAAATAAGCAGTCCCAGTTGTTCCTGTTTTCTGGCAATTTCACTGGAAGAGCCATGGTCCTTTTTGAAATTCCTGGGGTCATTCAGATTAATAGCATTTTTTTAATATGCAGATTGCTTTCTGGGACATTTGTTAGGTTCATCTTTTTTATAGAATAGATTTTATTAATAGGATGAGTTTCACAAAATCATTGCTGAAGATTTCAGGTGGAAAAAAGAGGAAAAAATGGACTGATTTGGAGAAATTCAGGAGTGATTAGACCAGCTTTGGCCCCGGGAAAAGTTATGGGACAAATCATTAAACAGTCAATTTATCAAATGCTGAAGATGATGAAATGATTAAAAAAACCCTATGGGTTTGTGAAGAACGAGTAATTTCAAACTAATCCAATTTCTTTCTTGGGCAGGATAATGGACACAGTACATGGGGGGATATGTAAATTGACTTCTGTTAAGCTTTTTGACTTTTTCTCGTGGTATCTTTATATACAGCACAGGGAATTATGTCCAGCCTGAAAACACTGCACACAATGGAGTGGAAACCACTCCAAACTTGTTGTATGTCACTGCCAGAGTGAGAGAGCTTTTGAAGCGGAGCTGTTTCTATTCCGTATTTTCATTAAGGACTCAGGTAATGGAATGGAGGTTAAACTGGTCAAATGCACAGAGGACATCACACTGTTATGCTGTAAGGACAATGGAAGACAAAACCGGAATTCAAAAGGGCCTTGTTAATTTGACAGAAAGTACTAAATCAACAAAAGCAGGCTCAGCTTTTCAAAGTCCCCATATGGGAAGATAAGGGGCAAGCTGGGGTGAAAAATGGAGAATAGTAACTGCCCAGGAGCCTGAATGTTAGAGAAAGATTTTTGGAGTGGACAACAACTGAATACAGGTCAACAAGTGGTATTCTTGCAATAACACATATTTCGTTGTTTAACAAGGATATGGACAAATTGGAGGCACCTCAATGGAGAGTTTAGAAAGGATAGAATGAAAATTGAAAGAAGTGGTTATGTTTTAATATAAAGAAAAGAAAATAGATAGGATAACAGTATCCCAGTTTGCAGCAGAGGGTAGCAGCTAATTGTTCTGCTTTCATCCTTGGAACAGAACAGTAACATATCGGTTTAAAGTGGAAGAAAGAAATTCAGGTTGAAGGTTAGAATAAAGTGATATAAAATAGAAAGAGATCCCTCAGAAGGGTTCTGGACACCTCTGGAGGTGTTGAGGAGAAAGCTGGCCAGATATTTGTTAGGAATGGTAGTTGAGATGTATCCAGCCCCTCCATTAGTATGCAGGACTGAAAAGTATTTGACACCACTTTTCTGTAACTGTTCTTCTTCCCAAGTAAATGAGTCTTTTTTTTTTTTTTTACCATGTCAAGAAAAGATTACAAAAAGGTAAAACTGAACTTCCTATCTGAATTTAACTCTGTGTTAATGTCTGCCATTCCAGAATGATTATTCTTGTGGTGCTCTGAGAGCCTTTTCTATATTCTGTCTGAAATCTTCCTCACTTGAGGTCTGTTCCAGCTGAAACAGTGAAAATGTGCTCCAGGAGACAACTTGAACTGTTTGATCCCGTATAATACCTCTTACAATTTTCATCTTACAGGCTGGGCCAAACCCTCTGGTGTAAAATACAGGCATGGGAGACACTCTGTAGAGTGAGTGGCAGAAAGTCTCCTCAAACTTAACCCAAAATGAAAGAATGTGCAAGGCTTTAGATGTGCACTGCAAAGAGCTGTTGTCTTCATGTTAGCAAGTTTAAGAGGAAGGGAGGGGTTGGACTGAAATAATGTGTGAGAAAAGCAAGGGAACAAAAACTAGAGGGACAAGCAATTGGGTTTGTGCCACTGAAGAAAAGCCCAGTGTTTGTGGGCTGGGCAAGGCTGTGAGTAATGACAGGCCCTAGTGTTTGATCCTGTGATCATCGAAACACAACTTCATGCATCCTATTAAGTAAACCCATCTTCAACTGAAAATTACTTGACTCTATCATGATGTCCTCTTCCTAATTAAAACTGCTGTCAGGATCCTGAGTTTTGCTAAATTGAGGAAAAAGGAATGTGTTACAAAACTTCAGTTTAAAAGAGATACTGCTTACAGAAATAGAAAGTTAGCTGATATCATTATATGTCCCTCATGGAGGTGACACATACTGCCTCTTTCTTAAACAGCAGGCTCCAAACAAATAAGCAACCCACTGTCCTTTTCTCACTCCATTTTCTGTGAGCTTGCACAAGTAAGGCAGAGGAGAGATGCAGACTTTTGGTTGAGGGTCTAAATACTACTTCTGTTTCACTTCTACTCCCAACTAAGAAAGAACTAGGAAACTGAAATTTTTTCCAACTTGTGGCAGACTGCAGTTGAGGAGCACAAAGCTCAGGCAATACAAACTTCTTTAAATCTTGGAGGTTCATTGGAAGGGATTTTTTTTTCAACCTGTTTTTATAATTTTTTTTTTCTCCTAATGGAAAGAAAAATATTCTTATAATGGAAGAAACAGAAAGATTTCTCTCATTGATCAGGGTTCATATTCACTCTCTTTGATATCACAGTTATATTTTTGGTGTATTTGGTTAGTGCTTTAGTTCTACTGCTCAGTCTTTTACAGCTGCTGTCTTATAGGCAGTTCACCTTATAAAACGAACCAACACCTTTTCTTCTGCCATGAATGATAATGATTTTTTTGTTTAGTGAACCAATCAGATGTTGAATTTTCTAACTCTGAGTATATCCTATTTTGTACATTGCATGACAAAACCAAAGCTGGTAGGTGTTTGGAGGTGATTTTAGAACTGCTGTTGTGTTCAAAGAACTACAGAAGACAACTGTGCCACAAGTAATCTTTTGAGCATTTCCTGAGCAAGGGGTAAATTATTGTTTGTAGCAAAGGGTAAAAGAAATCAAATATGCTTTTTATGATAGTAAGACTGAAATGTAGAACAAGTGCTGACATTAGAAAAGTGGTTATTTTGCTCTTTTTTCTTCAGTTTACTCCCTATGCTATTTCTAAAACTGACCTTCTGCCAATGATAATGCATTCATGAGTTTGTTTGCACAGCTCAATGTGTAATGCCTTTATGAAATTTGATCATATGAGTGGCACATGTCAGATGAAGGGATATCTGCCATCATATACAAAACAATTACATGTTTGATTGCACAGAGTATAGTCTCAAATGGTGCCAGCAGCTCCTGTTAAATGTCAAAAGATAAAATCAAGCCCTACTCCCAAGCATATTTTACATACTTTGTAAAGCTCTCATTCTGTGATATCCTGTCTTTGGTTCCTCTTCCCTGTGACATAGATGTTTCTTCTAGCTTCATTCTTTGGATGTGTATTTTCAAATTGTGTAGGCAATGTATTCTTAAATTGTACAGCTCTGTATGTGGATCCCCTGCCATCAATAAAATCTCAGGCTGACCAACAGTCACAGTTAGAGCTGATTTTTGGGTTTCTGTTACAGCTGCCAACCACAGGCAGCAGGTACTGGGAGTATTTACATTTATGTTCTCATCTGTGCCAAAGCCAGGTATCAGCACCTGCATTTGTGTCTTCTGTCAGCATCATGTCTGTTGTGCGATGCTTTGCTTTTCAGCAAAGAATCCATAAAGTTGCTTAAAAATATTGGAAGGGCCGGACTGATTTACTGCTAAATCATATAATGGCAAATTACTGGCATGTGAGAAATGATCTTGGAATTAGAATCAAATCAAAGAACAAACACACCTACAAAATAGAGTAGGGACTCACTGATTATTGATATTTGGAGGTGAGATGTGTGCATGTATGTATTTATGCATCCACATCAAGGTAAACCTCTATAGAAAGTTGCTTACACTTGTTTTCTATATAGTGTCATAGCATTTGCTAATTAATTACATTTTGCACAGCTATAGAACCTTTGCCATGTTTCAGAGTGTGTGAAACACAACCAGTCTCCACCAAGCAAGAAGGAGGTAGATCATGGTGGTGGTTTGAGGGGCTGTGTCAGGCCATGGGCTGGAATGATCTGGAAAAGGCAGAATATCCAGGTTTGAGAAAACAGATCCAACAGTGTATTTTTCTATTACTGTTTTTAAGCCAATACTTGATCTCAAGGTCTAGCCTAGTGATGGTAACTTTCTTCTTTCCAGTGTTTGGAGAATTTCTTGTTTCACAGCCTTGAAGCAAACCATTTTAAAATCAACTCTGTTATCCCACAAAGAGGTCTTTTTCCAACAGTGAAGTATCTGTTCAGTTGTCATTCATGGCAAGTACCCAGACAACCTGTCTCCTGTCCTTTTTGTTTTGTAGCAGTCTGACAGCAGTATCAGCTTCCAAGACTTCGTTAGATTGACATTCATGAGCAGAAGGTATGTGTTTCACCTTCACAATGCCCTCCCCAAAACCAGCATGATGTTGTGCCATGTACATAATTTATCACTTATCCCATGGCACTAAAACTACACAAGGATGTCTCCAACATTCTCCAGGGTGACAAGAGAATGATTTCTTTTTTTTTTTCCTCTGTTGCTGTTTCCATCACACTGCTTAACACCGGGAAGAACTTTGTCCCTGAAAATCACCCACCGTGTTTGATAATCTTTGTCAGAACATTGAACAGACACCAAACTACAGGGTATTTTAGGGCCCACTTTTCTGCCATTGCACATCTCAACTTGCTAGTAACTTCAGTGTAACAAATGGCAGACAAACACATAGACAAAGATGTAGAGATGGCATTGCTCCCTGGGAGCACACTGCTTTTTAAAAGCTGAGCAGGGGAACTTAGACTGTGCCTGTTAATTCAGTGATCAGCACCTCTACTGTGATTGCCAACAGGGCTGAACACATCCTTAATTTTTATCTGCAACCTGCATATGAGAAGCAAGACATGATCCTGCTTCTTCTGAGGTCAGAGGGAAAACATTTCATTGGGTACTTGGGAGCTGGTCTTCTCCCAAAAGCAGAAGTGGAGTGGCCTTGTACACTTGAACCGTTCTCCTGATACATGCCATGATTTTGGTACCTGTGTCTCCTTTTCACCACATCCCAGCACCTGTGCAGGGCTTGCAATTCAGTTTTTCAGAGAAGGGGAGATTGCCAATTCAAGTTTGGTGGGCAAGGGTAATTTGTTTGAATAAAACACATATGCCAGTCCTAGAAGAGATAGGGATGTGGACAGCAGTTCTGTCTTCCATGCTTCCCTAATTGGAGCTCACAAACCACTTCCTGTTCCCCAGGAAACTACTGGATCACAATAATTACTTAATTATTTCTAGATAGAGATAGTAAATAGGAGTATGAAACTTCTGGGCTCAGCCTCAGTCCTTTCAAAGGGTTGTCATATGAAAAACAAAAAAGAACGTATTAAGATTTCTTTTAAGACTAAAAATACATGTCTTTTAAACACAGCTCTTGAATAAGATTTTTTTTTATCTGATAATAAACACCTTGAAAAGAGTTCAATCTGAAACAGCTTCTTTTGATTTTTCTACTAAAAAAGATAGGATAAACTATATATGTTTTTTGGATAAACTGTTCTTTATTTTAGTTTTGTAGTTATGAAAACATAGCCACATGTTTATATATAGCAAAAATTGAAATATGTTTCTGAAATTATTACTAGTGATGCCTTAAGCCCCTAATGTTTTTTTTTCTATTTTTCTAATATTTGTAAGACTTGTAAGTTTTGTAAGTAATGGAAGTAGGTTTTAAAAGCAGAAACCCTTCCCTTCTTTGTCCCTTGTCCCTTTCCCTTTCCCTGTAGCACCCTTGTTTACACATTCCTTAAACCTCTTACCCCATTCTATCCTCCCTATATCACTCATAGCCCCAAATCTAATAGAAATGTTTAGTCTTTTGTCAAGGCAAGGCCTAGACAGTTGACAGAACAGCATATCTGGGCCTAAACCACAGAATACAGTCAAGAATTAGGTAACTATGTACCCTTTGTGCTCTGATGATGATGAAGGTGATGAAGTAGGTGGTCCCGAAATTTACCCCAGACCCATTTTAAGGGGGTGGACCCCGGGGCGGTCCAGAGCAAAGGCCACAGGGTGGACACATCTGGGATTGGATGGATGGTATTATATTATCTTGGGCACAGGGGCGCGTGTCTTGTAACATCTTAGCCTTGGCAAATAAACCCTTTCTTACCTCACCCCTAATTAACTGCTCCGGAGATTTTTTCAGCACCTAAATCCCACGGCAGCACTAGTGCTTTCAATTTTTATTTCTACATTCTCTTTTTCCCCACAGTCTTTTTTCTGTGGTGAGTGAAATATCTTCACAAACTCATGTTTTCCTTTTTATGACTGAAATGTGTTTTAATTGAAGGAAAGCAAACAGGTGGGTTTTGGTTTTCTGCACAATACAATATAACATTGCTTTTCAATGGTGGCTCAATGAAAATTTTAAAAACTAGTTCCTCTTGACTGCGTCTCCCATTTAGATGCCTATTAGATTTCTTAATTATTAAGTCACATTGGAAATTGCTATGTTTCACTCTAAGAGAAAATCTAACATGTTATTTTTGTAACTGGCAAAGGTGATCATTTTAAAGTAAGTTCAAGTGAGCCGCTCAGAGGTAAGAAATTTATACTTAACTGTGAAATAATTGAAAAAATTATAATAAAGCAATTATTGAGAATGCTTTGCTAAGATTGAGTCAATTACTATCACCCAATTACCAGAGAGGGTTTTGAAATTTGAAGTACATTAAATCATTGTGGTATGATTTTGTAAACCATGGTTGCAATACCAGTGGCAGTGTAGCAAATTAAACTGCTGGGAAAGTAAATGTATAGTTATGCCTCGGTGGCTGTAAAGTGTCTCTGTGCTCTGACTGAAACAGCCCCATTTAAGAACAACAATCTACATATTTTGGAGTTCACGTAGCTTGCCTATATTTTCTGATGGAGAGGAGAAAATGTCCCTCAGGTCACTTTCATTTTGTTGCATTAAGGTAAAGGCCTGTGAAAATGGATTAAGAATGGGACTTAAATTGCAAAAGCATCACTGTAAAGTGTATTGGAAGTGAAAATGGCTTTTTGTTCGTATTCCAGTTATTGTGCCCATTAGACACTATATTGGTTAAAGAAAAGTACCCATCAGTGAATTGTGGTGGATACATATGAATTACTTCTTACCATCTTTCCTTTTGCATTATGTATCATTCTGCTTGGAGCACAGCATTAGCATTATTTTCTTGAGAATAACATTTTCTTATATTCTATGACATTTTAATCAAGAAATGAAAAAAATATTATTTGCACTCATACTGAAAAATATAGGTTTATTCCTTCGTATTAACTTCTTTAACCTAATTTAAGTACAAATACTTTTTGCAAAATTTGTCAGCAGCAATATCAAATGTGTACAAAGCCAAAATGAAGATTTATGGGGAAGATTTTCAATGGCATATGTCAGTTAGCATTTCTTTTCCTTTTTGGAAATCTCTTCTGCTTAATTGGGGCAGAATGACACCCATTTAAAGTTAATTAATTGTTATTATGTTAAGTAGAGCACTCTGAATGTTATTAGCTGAGTGCTGGCAAACTGGAGAACCAGAGTGGTTCTGATTATTTTTTCTCATTGACGTATCCAACACTTTTGACTACGTTGTGGCTACTTTGTTAGCATAACTTATGAGTTGTTTGTGTGGTGCCTGATGTGCTCCTGGTGTGGGGTTTGTCTTTTGACAGTACAGGGACCAATCTGAGCGCAGGGGGGCCAGTGGGGTGCCCCTTTCCAGGAAGCAGGGCTGCTGGGGCACACAGGCCAGGAGAGGTTATTGCTAGCAGGAGAAAGAACCTTCCAGGGGCCGGTTCCTGGGGATGAGGAGGGTTTGCAGTTAGGCATTTCCATGGCAACAGGCTCAGGGGAGCTGCCAAGAAAGAGGGAAGGTCAAAGGACAGAAAACGGCTGGGAGAGGCAGCATGAGGAGCTGATGAAAGTGTCCCAAGGGTTGTTGCAGGGTCTCGGAGAAGCACATGTCTTTGGGCTGCTGCCTTGACACCCTATTAGGGGCATGCAGAAGGCTGGAGAGGGGCTGTCTGGCAGTGCTTGGGGCCTGGGGGAATATGGGGAGCTGCCGAAGGTGTGAAAGTGCAAGTGGCTGAAGCCTCAGGAGGCAGCCATGCCCCAGAGCAGAGGGCTGAGGGCAGCTGTGATGCCCCGGTCTCTCAAGGAGCTGGTCCCTCCAGTGGCAAGTCTATTACAAGCACACTCAGCTGGAAAGTTTTAGCTGTACTCAGGGGTAAAGTATTGCCCTTTAGCTCAAAACTTAAATATAAGTGGTGAATCGGCACAGAGCATCATTTGGTCCTAGGTGGTGGGCATCAGATAGAGCTGCTCTTTTAACAGTAGTTGGAATTATATTCATGTGAAAGATCATATTTAATCTGTTATTAATTATTTAATAAGGACTGATGGAATGAACAAAAAAAGATTGAGTGCCATTAAGTACAGAACTTGGGAGATTTCCCTGGCAATGCTTTAATATTTGATGCAGAGATTGTTTTTACGTGCAAACATATGGTCACAGCAGGTATTAACTAAAATGGCCTGAGAAAGGAATGCGATTTCCCTTTCCTCCCCCCATCTTCCAGCCCAGATGTGCTGTTCACAGTGAGCAGCAATGGGAATCTGCAGCACAGCTCCTCTCCTCCTTTCACACGTGAGTTGTGCTTCTCTGTGATTGCTGCAGGAATGGGTTTAGCCTCTGGGAGCAGTGCGTACCTCCACAATTCATTTCTCCGTTTCTAATTTCACACTGCAAACTTCCCAAATGGGGTTCCCAAAAGGGGTGGCTCGCCATGAGTTCGCTGGTGATGGACGCTTCAGGGCGGTCGGGAAGAAGGGGAGGGAATACACTGGAGAGCTTGTGCATGAAGGAGCCCTGTCACCCTTTTACCTCAGACAAGCCCCAGCACACAAAGCAGCTGTGGGGAGGTCACACAGGGGAGTGAGCCCAGAGCTGGCCAGGGGGCCATGGTGGCCCCGCGGCAGGGGAAAAGTGGCCGGCGTGGCTGGGAGCTCTCTGCTCCAGCTGCTCTGGTGGAGGACTCCAAATCCTGCTTTGGGAGTGTGAAAGGAAAACTTCTCTTTTGGGCTGGCAGCTCAGTGACCCCTGCAGTCCTACACATTGCAGGGCACATAGTCAAAGGTAGGAGTGCCTGCAGCTGCCGCTTGGCTGAGGCGGCCATTTTGCAGTGGTGCACCTCATGTGGTGGCCATTTGCCTGACACAGCCGTTTGCTTGCAGAGCCATGTCTGTGGTGGCCGTTGACCTGAGGCAGCTATTTGCTGAGGCTCCCCACATGTGGCCACTTGCCCCATGCAGCCGTTTGCCCAAGGCTCTTCATGTGTGGTGGCTGTGAGCTGGCTGTTTGCCCAAGGCGCCTCATGCAGCGGCCATTTTCTGAGGTAGCTGTGGTGCTGGTTTTCATCCCTGAGGGGGGGGCCAGTGCGTCCTGTAGGCTGTGACTTGGGAGCACTGACAGGGGAACAGCGCTGCCAACATCTGAGAACAGGAATTTGCGACAGACAAGAGACGAGAGGGCCAACAAGGGGCAGCTCTGTGCTGCTCTCTGACCCCTCATACATGCAACCACAAGGCAGCCCCCAGGGAATGGCCACAGGGAAGCACTGATCTTGGATCCTCCCTGGGAAACCGCAAAGCTTCATAGGGAGGGCTGGGTTGGTGGCTCTTCTTGTACCTGAAGGTCTGACTCTACCAAGAGCCCAACACTCTGCTGTTCCAGTCCAGTTCCACCACAAACAGTGGTTGTCCAAGCTAATGAATGCTGTAAGGAAAAGAAATTAATCCCTCTAAAGCCATATTATCCAACAGGCTTGTGCTTAAGTGGACAAGTTTGACTTGAGTCAAGAGGATTCCCAGATTGAGAAAGGAGTGAGGATCATCTCATAATAATAAAATAATGAAAAAAATTTAAAATAAATGGAAAGTAAAGCGATTGAGAATAAAATATATCAAATTAAACACAACTTTTTTTTTTTCAAATAGATCTTGTGTTTCTTGGTCTATGAAGGGAAACAGGCATTTTGTTGGAGATGCTGTTATTCGTGTCATTTGCCCGTGGTTTGATCTAAATTTTAATCACACGCACACACAAAGTTGTAAATAAAAAATTGTGCATCCTTATTTTTTATCTTTTTAAGAACCCTGATCAGGCACTGTGGAAACCTTCTGAATGCACAAGGAGGAAAGAAATCACTGAGAGCAGTGAGAATAAAGTATGAGGCTTCAGTAAGTAAGTCAACAGAGAGAAGAGGAGGAAAGGCACATGTCTGGAAGGCTGTTGGAAGTCTGCAAACTGATGATCAGGAAGAAGACGGGAATGAATAATAGCATAAGAAGAGAGACAATGACCAGAAAAGAAATGATGGAATAAAAGGTGAGGTGAGGAATGATGCTGAGTTGTAGCAGTGTCACAGGAGATTCAAGCTCTTGTGATGTATGGGAAAGTTGAACATGGTTGCACCATTCTTGTAGTGTCTTGAATACTCCCCAAAAGCCAAGTCTCGTATCAGTGCCTTCACTTCTTTGCTTGGCACCATATTTATAATTGATTTCTTGTAGGATTTGTCTCTGTTCTCCAAGATTCCTTTCCCCTGTGACTCGTCTTGTCTTGATTTACTTGTATGTGGGACTGCCCTTGAAGGCTTTTCCCAGACAGGTGCAGAACATAAAATGGTGCCTGGCAGCTTGGTTATTCTGCTCCACAGGTAGTGAGTGTCTGGGCTTTCCAGGCGGCGTGCTAAAGCTACACTTACTACTGTGAGCAACATGAAAGAATAACGCATCTGTTTGGACAATGTAACAGTCTTATCCTTGCCTGGAACAAAGTTTGATTTGTAAACATTGGTGAAATCTGAGGTCTCTTGTAGTGCAAGGGCTGTCTCACCACCTTTTTTCCAAGAGGAAGAGGTAGCAAGACTCCCCCAGGATGGGGGAAGATGGTGTCCTGCTGCTCCCTGGGGAATACTTTAATGCTCTTAGCTGGCAGTGCACTTTTACTTGCTGTAGGTGGACCTGCCTCCTCCAGCTCCCAGGGAGGAGGCTGAAATGCAGTCACTGCATGCAGAATCTCAATAGATAATGTGAGCTGAAAAACAGGCAGGAAATAAACTCATCTTTACTCTGAGATGCGGTCTTGTCTAATGCCTGAGGACTTTCATCTGAATTTGGGTGAAGTTTTCAGAAAACTCCTTAGTCAGCTACTGTTTCTTTGTGTGAAAGTAATTTTTTCTCTCTGGATTTACCCAACCTTGCGGATGCCTCCAGCAGGGAAAAGAAATCCTTTTAAATCATGATAGCCACAATCATACAATTGAACTACCTTTTATACAGTAGTTGTCGCAAATGCTGTGTTGAAAAGAGGCATTTCTTTCACTAGAATAAGCTATCAAGTCAGGTTCTGTTATCCAAGTTCATAGCAGTATTAGTTCTGGTTTATTGATGTGAATTTGTGGGGAAAAACCGAGGCAGAACAATAAGAATTCTGTAATGATTGACTGCTTTGAGACAGTGTTGACTATCATAAAAGGGAACGTTCAGAGTAGGAATATGCAAAACTTGGCATTTGTTTATGATTAAAGAAAATAGAGTGGAGGGAGTTGCATTTGCAATAAAAGTCAGAGTATATTGTAATAATATGATTGTTAGCTTGCTTTTTATACTCATAGACTTCACCTGTGATACACATTTTGAAGAAACTTAATGTGAACCTTCTGTCTTGGAGTAGCAGATGGCTATTCTGGTCTAACTGTGGATTGGTGGCTTGGAGAGCACTGAGAAGCTCTGCGGCAGTGAAGTTAATGAGAGAGAGCAGACTTTTACTTAGTTCAAACCTGAATTCCAGGTAGCAGTTTTTTCTGCTGTCCACAGGATCAATTGTACAGATGACATAAACGAGGAAGATCACGGTGCTGGTTGTAAACTGCTGAAATTGCCTCTCGTGTCAGGGTCCATAGACCAATTTTCCAGTCTTCTGGGAATACAGGCCATGGTTTCACCTAGTGATCCTTCGTGGTTAACAGAAAGGCATCCAATCATGTGAAGATATTAGGAACAGGGAACCTGCTGTTTCTTTTCTTATTTCAGTAGTTTATCATTCATATTATTAAAAGCTTTATCTAATTTCAATTTGCCTCACTTTGGGGCTTTTTTTGTTGTTAAGTCTTGTTAGACTTACTCTGCAGGATTTAAGAGCCATGATTACAGGTATTTTCTCCTTAAAGAAAAGGAAATGTCATCGATTTTTATTTTGTATTCTTTGTCCCTTCATTTGATTCCAAAACCTCTTCTGTGCATCCTTCTCAATTTTGATGTGTCTTTAAAACATGAGGAGTCCTATGAGCAGCCTTTTGTTATGGGTCTCAAGAGTGCTTCAGAGGTGAGCAGAACCACATCCTGATTTCTTATTACTTCTCTTTTGTGCAGCCAAGGATCACACTGGAACTTGGCACTGATTTTAGAGTTGCTGCTGTGCAAGGCAGGGTCCCCTACTCTGTAGCTGTGGATGACAATATTTGTAGCTTTATGACTTTGCATTGGGCTGCCTTATGACTTTTGAGTTTGTCACGTAGGCTCAGTTTAACAAGCATCTGGGTCCATTTTGAGTGAACTCACTCATTTCTTTACTGTTTATCATTCTGACTGTGTTTGCTTCTAGTTGTATTTGCAGGGATGTAATATTTACCTCCAGACTGTAAATACTGTATCATCAATGGGACCCACTCCTGTTAAATCATGATTACCTCTAACAAATGTTTTAGTGTTTCTTTTCTTCTTGTTTTCAACACTTAGGTAACGTAGTCAGTTTTTAATCCAGTAACTATATACTTTAGGGCCTTAAAAACCTCACAGAATTCTGAGGATATTGCATTTCTGCTCTTGTCTTTATCAGCCAAACTTGTAATCCCATCAAAGAATGAGGCATCTTTGGCTCTGCAGGAACTGCTTGTGGAAAATAGGCTACAGAGACATTTTGAACAGCTGTTTTGCTTGAGAATTAAAACATTGTGGAATGCTGTAAGTAAAAGACCTGAAACTTTTTCAGTCCCTTAGTGTTTCCAGATATCCATGCAGGTTAATGTTGGCACCTTTCTAAGCATACTGTGCGTGTAGTTTATGGAAATTTCTGTGACATCTTGGCCAACTTCAGAGGTCTGGGCCTTTTGCTTGAGTTTTTATTCAAACCTTGAGGATAAGAGCAGTTTTTGGCACCAGCTTGACCTGTTTTCAGTAAATTCATTTCCCCCGCAAAAGCCTGCATTCTTAATACAATGGGCACTGTTTATCTGCATTGCTGTTTCATTCCTCATGATGCTGAAAAATTAGAATGTAGAATAAATTTGTTTTTCTATGCAAATATTTTTCCTACCTATTAAGTACCTGAAGGCTCAAACTGATCAGAATTTGCATTTATTTCTTGTGGTTTTGAATTCTTGTAAGTATTTCTTTACAGGTATTGAAAAAATTGAGAGCCACTTTTATGAAGGAAGTTATCTAGTTGTTTAAGTCCACATTTATAAAAAAAAACCCCAAAGCCCCCCTTACTACATTCTGCAATACAAAGGAGTTCAAGTTGGAGGCTGATAACATGATCATGAAGTAGCTTTTCTCTTGCCTGCATATTGATTTGATCTTAATATAAAATAACATGAATTCTTTCCAAGTCTCACTACCTCAGCAATTAGTGGAGACTTAAGGTTTCAGAAGAGAATGATGTATGAAAAGCGAGTATGTACAGACAACACAAGGACAGTGTCAGAGCAGTAATGACTTTGTTTCCTTTGCATGTCTTTGTTCATGTGATTTATTAACTGTGATTTGTTTATCAGTTGTGGCTTTTTTCCCTTCTCATATTTGGCTTGTTTGGCTCTGTGCAGTGGTAAGTAGCTAAAGCCCTACCATCAGTAGTTCTGTTGCCTACTGAATATTTTCTTCTGAGATGAAAGTGTGCTTCAGCTGTGCTGCTCTCAAATAACCGTCTGATCCGTCCTCGCTGTGCAGAGGAAAACAATATTTTAATTTCTTTTCACGTGGGTAACTTCTCTGGAAATTGGGTGCTTCGTGGCCACACTGCAGCTTCAGTATCACTACAGCACGAAACAGAGGGAAAGGGGGAAAAGGAATTTTCATATGAGCAGGTCTTCTCTAATGTTTAGAAATGGAATAGTTTTTACTCCTTCTTTATAAACGCCTTCTTCTAGAAAATTAAAATCAAGGAGGGCATGTGCACTAATTTTATCAGTGGCAAGAAGTTTTCAGCTTACAATACTAGAAATAAGGTCAAGAAATATGCAGTTCTGAGCCCTATAAAAGCCTCTTTCTCCTTTATCGTGAAGTCTTTACTCGTGATACATAGGAGCAAATAGTCTTAAATATAACTATATGCATTTCAGATTTATCAGAAATGAATGAGAGAAGAATAAGACATTCAGGTAAACACTAGCAGTTTAGCATAAAATCAACCACAGAAGATTTAAGCATAATCCTTGATTCTGCAGAGCTCAAACTGCTCTAATTCCTACCCCAGCACAGCACTTAAACACACACTGAACTATAAGCATTTACCTGCTTCTGCAGGGTTCTGTGAGGAATATTCATGAATTTAAAGACTAAGAAATAACAGAAATGCTTTGTTAGTGCAAGGATAGAATGCTTCTAACTTTGCAGGATCAAGCCTATCTTCCTTTTTGTGTCTTTTTCTTAAATTATCTTTTAATTTAGCTATTATAACGTAGACTTTGCTATTCTGTCATGGGACTCTATTCTTATGTGTGTTTCATTGGATTGAAAACAAAAAAGATGATGATTTTCCTTTCTAAAGAAAAAGTAATGCTTTCCCCTGTGTATTGTTACACTGACTTTCCCGGCAGAGAGGAGCACCAGGGGATTTGTTAGTGCACACGTTAACTTCCAAACCTCCTTGCATCCACTGAATTTTTAGTACATTTTAGAGTAATCCTGCTGTGCCCTTTTTGGCATCACTGCAGGTACAGTTGTGTCTCAGTGACTCCCTGACATTGCTTGTGGTGGCCAAGCAAGCTCACTCAGAGCCCTGTTTACTTGACACTGCTGCATACTAATACTCCCAGACAAAGGGGAGTCCTGAGGAGCCGGCCAGAAGCTGTGTGTCATTGCTTCTATGAGGTATATCTTTCTGTAGTGTTTGAGATGTTTTGTTTTCCATCATGCACTGCAACAGTGGAAGGGAGGGGAAGGAAGAGCTGCTCTTCCCATTTCACACAATGGAGTGTGGAAAAATTAGCCCAAGGCTACAGATAATGTCTGTTGTAGTTGAGTAACAAGTTGCTGTCTTGGCCACTGTCTTGACTGTTGTCTTGGAGACTCTGTGCCTCTTGTGTCACACAGCTGGGAGGAATT